CCCTGACGCTTCAGCGAGTTGAAGGAAAATATGTGAGAATATGCCATGCATGAAGTTACAGTTTCTGCTGGAGTACAATTTGGCCACTGTTGATAGCCCCACAGCACCTCATACATACCTGTCTATAGTTGCTAGATCAGTCCAAAGTGTTATTGCATTTAGCATGGTGATAGTGCCATACAGCATGATGGAGATAGGATTTTGTTTCCAGATTGGAGTGTGCAATGGTCACTGTTATTGATATTGTCATGGACAGATGCAACTATGGCAGGCAGATTGTAAGAATGAAGTCAAGGATGTGTTTCCCTCTTGGCAAATAAACTGGCTCTTTTCTCCGCTGCTGATATAGTGTGAGTGTTCCTCCATCAGGATGTTTTACCAGATGCAACGATGTTTATGCAATCTCCCTTAATGAAAGAAATTGGATGTGGCTGTCATGTACTAAGAAATCTCACAGACATTTATTCCAAATAACTAATTTTGCATAGGCATTATATTCCTCAGGTACTTGTATCTTGCTAATTGTAATAACTTAGGAAACCCAACTGAAAAGAAACACCATTTGTTATTGAACGTTAGTGGTAGTGAAATTATTATAGAAGGTTCTTAGTTATAGGATTTACTCATGCATAAAAGTGTGGAATTATCAGAGACAGGCAACATAGCGTTGTACTGGAAAGATTGTGCCTCACAAATTTGTTGAGGTTTTTAAGGAAGTGACAAAAATCATTGATGAAGGCAGGGCAGGTAAGTGTTGTCTATATTGAAATTTGCAAGGTCTTTGACAAAGGTCCCTCGTGGCATGCTGATACAAAAGGTGAAGACACAAGAGATCCTCAGTGAGCTGGTAAGATTGATACAGAACTGGCTTAGTCATACAAGATAAAGAGTTGCAGTGGAAGGCTGTTTTCCTGCCTGAAGATCCTTGTTCTGCTTGGATCAGTGCTGGGACCCCTGTTGTTTGTAAACGGGATTTGGAGGAGATTTTGGTGATGTGATTACTAAATTTGTGGATGATGCAAAGATTGGTGGAGGTGCAGATAGTGAGGGGAATTGCCAGAGGATACAGCAGGAGATAGATAGGCTGGAAACTTGGACAGAGAAATGGGGGATGGAATTTAATCTGGACAAATGTAAGGTGATGAACTTTGGAAAGTTGAGTACAGGAGGGAAATATACATTAAATGGCAGAACTCTTAGAAGTATTAACATACAGAGGGATCTAGACATAGAGGTCCACAGTTCCCTGAAAGTGGTAACACAAGTGAATAAGGTGGTTAAGAAGGCATACAGCATGCTTGCCTTCATTGGTTGGGGCATGGAGTATAAAAATTGGCAAGTTCTGTTGCAGCTCAGTTCAGCCACTGTGATGATATGTATCTTTAAGAGTGATTTGTTCTGTCCTGGCTCTCTTGAAGAGGGGTGTTTTCAATCTGGTTCCAAGGCGTCCGCTCCATGGAAAGCAGAGTAAATAGCTTTTGGTACTTTTAAAATTAGACAAAAGAAGCATGAGTGGGTGGAGGCAGGCTCTCACAGAGCCAAGGTTTTGGTTTTGGTTTTGCTTTTGCTTTCGCTTTCAGTAGATGAAGTTAGGCTTTTGGAGTTAAAGCTGCTAGATATAGCACTCTCTGCTCCTACAAAAAACTTAAGTTCGCTCTCTGCTGCTAGATTCATTCAATTGGTTTTTCCTTTCCGGATTGAAAGAGGTACTAGGTGAGGGAAATCTTCTTTGCTGAATTAGCTCTTACCAAGGGTGTTTTTACGGTTTGCTGCTATATTGGAACAGTTGATAAGTAATAGTTAAATAACATCTTTTATTCATTCTTTTAATAGATTTAAAGTTATGATAATTCTTTTTTGTTTTTATTTTAATTTTAGTGGAAGAATAAAGCGTGTTTTGCTTCAAGCCTGCTAGTTTGACTAATCAAATCATATCTGGAACACAGCACCTTACACTTGCCTTAAATGAAAGTTAGAGTCGAGGTTATTTCCTTGATATGTTTTGAGGGGGTTTAATCAAGTTCATAACAAATTGGGGGCTCCTCCATAATGAAAATCTCTAATTCCACGTTGAGTTTAGAGTTATTGGACTCAAGACACCAAGTGGTGAGCGTTGGTGTTCGTTTTCCAGGTATTGCATTGGTTTAAATAGGGAGTGCCTTGTGCAATGATGGCTCTTTTGATGCTAAGGGTTTCCTGGGTTAGGAAGAATCACTTGGGTTGGTTTACAGAAGGTGAGTAAGAGAAAGCTTTAGGATTTGGCAACAAGTTGAATTTCGGGTTGCCTGTGTCCGTGGGGATTAGGAAGGTAATTGCAATGGTAGCTCAGCATTTACAATTGCCAGAATACAATCCGAATCATTGGAAATGGCTAAAATTCAAGTATGTATGAAGCAGCTTGAATTAGACAACATCAAGATATTTAATTCATTCATAGTGGGGTGTGCAAGGACAAGATCTGGAAATTCATATAATTATGCATCAATGAGCTTATGTTACATTACTCTTTCTGAACTTTATTTCATTTATCTCACCTGTCATTTCTGTTTTACATCTTAAAGCAAATTGATTTAAGTTAGTTCAATATTACCTGTGATGATTTGAAAGGATACGAGTGCATAAGACCTGGCTCTATGATAGTCTTCACAGCTGCTGGTAGTGTGGCACTTATGTAAGAAGTTGTTTTCAGATCAACTGAAAGTATCCAACATAACTCAGTCACTTAGTTGCTAGTGAATAAAAAGCAATAAATCAGCTCCCCACTTATCTTTGTGGTGAGTGGGAGGTGTTTGTTTAAAGTGGAGATACCATTCGTACAGAAAAAAATAAACGTTTTCTGAAGAAGAGTCACAGAGTCATTGAGCTCTACAGCATGGAAACAGACCCGTCAGTCCAACTTATCCATGCCAACCAGATATCCTAAATTAATCTAATCCCATTTGCCAGCATTTAGCCTCTGTCCCTTGAAACGCTTCCTATTCATATACCCATCCAGATGCCATTTTACATTTTATGAGAAGAATTATAATGTGCTCAAAACATTACCTGTGTTTCTGTCTCAGAAACAATGTCCCACTGAGCATTTTCAACACTTTCTGTTTTTGTGTTAGAATTCTAACTCCTGCAGTATTTGATTTTTTTAACGTGTTTTCATGTTAGGTTTTAATAGTTGTATTGTAAGTGCTTGAAATCATACAATGTAGGGAATTGTCCAGGGAATGAAATACTCAGGATATTTGGCGTCTGTTGAAAGCATATTAACCATAGGGATTTCACTATTTTGCTCCTTTTTCCCCCTTTTCTCTGTAAAAACTAAAAACACTTGCATGGGAAAATGACTTCAGTGCAGCAGATAACCAGAATAGATATTTAATGTAAATAGCAGCATATTGGGACATTTGCAAGGAGATATTTCAGAACAATATGTGGGAAGTTGCTTTAGTTGTAATCACGCTAATGTGTATGATTGTGTCTTTTGAGTAAGACCTCTTACAAGATTCTCATCTATTTAGTATTTTGTAATCTAATTCATACTTTACAAGCACTTTTATTAAAACAATGTTCCTTTTGAAAACACCCCATCAAAGTTGACGATGTTGCTTGAAAGCCTTAGCTGCATGTTGTTTGTGTCATCAGTAATGGGAGTAGTAACTTTCCAGGGTTTCATAATAGGGTTTTCAACTTTGCAGGATTTCCTTGATCAGGAATGGAGATTAATCTCTTAGGACTGTAATAGAAAATTCAGAAGAAATTTCATAAGGTCATTTAACAAGCTGTTTCTAATTTGCATTTTCCTTAAACATTTTGTTGATTCAGTTATAAAAGATTACAGAGAGTTATTGAAGCTTAGTGTTGCAGGGAATGGATGGTGCAGAAATGACAACAGTGGTGTTAAAATTCCCATCTCTAATGCTCCCTTATGTAAGTCATTTTTTTCTCACTGGCATTTTTACTGGTTTGAGTATTTAGAGGCAGAGGCACATGTTGAAATCTCCAGCACTATGTACAAACAGAGGTGTCAACTCTGTTTTATAGAATAATTTGGCAGTACATGTAGAATTTTATTCAGTAAGGATGTTGAATGTTTACTTTTCAAAGGCAGGTAAATGGAGTTGCAGTATTAATCGATATGATCTAATTGAATGGTGGAATCAGCTTTGTGGACAACTGCTTCCAAATGTTATATATGATAGGTTGAAATCAAAAGAACATATAAAGCACCTTTTCACATCATGTATACTATGGCCAACTTAAAAATCTATCTCTAATGAAAACAGAGAGTATTGAAGAAACACTGGTAGCACCTGTGGAGAGAAAACAGAATTAATGTGCCAAGTCCAGTTTTGACTGCTGTGTTGCAGAGAATGTCTGACCATTGGAAAATCCTGATCAATATAAGTAAATATATTTTACATGTATATATCAAATATTTACCACCATTTAGTAGCTAATGAAGTAAATCACTCAGAGCAGCAAAAAAGTACTTGCTCACTTCTTTTCATTTCAGCATATTGCCAGGAAATGTATGTATGTATATGTATCATATATACAGATGTACACACCATGCAAATAGAAACATATTGTGAAGAGAACATCTCCTTCAGCAGGAAATAACAGTGACAGAATGTATGCATTTTGTTGTTGTAACAGGCAAACAAAGAGATGTGAACATAGATTGGAAACAATTCATTGCTAATTTGAATTTGTGTTTACTTGACAGTGGTTAGACTTTGTGATCTTGAAGGGGAAAGAAATCTAACTCCTGCAGTAGAATAATTCTTAATGAGAGTACATGCCTACAAAATTCTAGTCCTTATAGAATTGAATAGTGAATAATGTCTGTGGAGATTCACAAATTTTATTTAAAATTATGAGCATGGTTATGGCATAATTGTACACTGGCTGTTTTTGAATTGTTTGCTGTTAAAGTTATCAACTTGTTTGAGTTTTTATCTCTGGAACATTAGGTTAAATCTAGTATTTGTACGTTGTATTGACAGATTTGTCTGCAGCAGTTCAGAGGTTTTCACAGTCATTACAGGATTTTCAATTTGAGTGCATTGGTGATGCAGAGACTGATGATGAAATTAATATTGGTAAGTCTTGACCTTTTCTTAAAAAATTACTTTAATCCAGGACTAATACGTTTGTAGTTCTTTTTAGTATGTGCTAATTTTTGTGTGCCAAGTCCCCCATGATAGCTGTATTATTCTTAATAGATGGCCCACTAAATTCTTGCTTTATATCTGCTCATGCTACAATTACTGTTAATTGGCCTATTAATAACTCCCGGTGTTGTCTCTCTCTTGCTGTTTCTTAGCTCCATTTAAACTAAGTTTATGTCTTTTTTTTCTGCACTAAGATCCTTTCTCTCCACTGTCTTTATCCCAAACCTTTATTAGGTGAGTTATCCTTCCTCCTATTTAGAACTGTTTTTTGTTATGTTACCTTGGTCACTAATGTCTTTTCCTGATGCCTTCTACTTACATTTACCCAAAATACTGTATAACTCTATAAAGACTTGAAAATTATCTTGCTGCTTTTGAATTTTTCTGATTCCCCCCACCCACTTTCTCTTTTAGTTAAAAGGCCTTTCTACTGCAATAGTTATTCCATTCAGCAAGTCACTGGCCACAACCTCATTTAAATGGAGCTTTACTCCTTTTCTCCCCCCAGTTACTGCTGCCTGAGGCCTGTGAAACTTAGCCCTGCCTTTCCCTCTCCCCATGCATCATTTTTCCAGTAAAGCATTCTATCATCAAATCTGATATCCCTATTGAAGTGGGGCTGCTTTTTAACTTGAACCATAATTCCTCAAACTCACTCAGCAGAACACCATTTCTGGTTCTGCATATGTTTGTTGGTCAACAATGACAGGATCCTCTCTCCTACTCCCAGCCATGAGGAGATGTTTTCAACCCTCAGATCAAGCAGAAGCCACAATCTTTGATACTTATGACTCAAGCTGCAGAGATTGCTATCTAATTATTGTTTTCATTGTACCTTGTACTTTAATTGAACCTCGTACCTGTCAGTCAAAGTAAAAAGCTAAGGTTCCTCCATCATTGCTTCTGGGTCCCAACACATGCTTAGCACATAGTGCTGTTCCTCACCATTTGATCAGAATTCAAACGTTCTGCTTAACTGAATGCTGTGGCTGCTTCCAATAAAATGTTCCAGAAACTGAGCTGAAGGTCTTTGAATTGCAGACACTTAACACAAGTATGAACCATCCCGAGATCACCATGCTCTCAACAAACTCGCAGTGTCCTTTTTCGTTTCCTCTTCCGTCTCTGAGTAATCAGATTTAAAATCATTGAAATTTACTTTTATGAAAAGGACCTTTAATGAACACTTTAATCATTTCATTAGATGGAGTTATTCAATATCTTAGCAAAAAATAATTGATATGAAGAAGTTTTAAAAGCATGCCTAATTGTCAGTTAAGAAAAGAATGGGAGTGTGATTGAGAGACCTGAGTTTAGTGATGAGTGGGTAAGGTTCTGTCTTCAAAGTTGTCGAACTCAGCCCCATGGTATACTCCTCCTGTACTATGTGGGATAATTGCAGCCTCCACACTGACTATGTATGCAGGAAGTATGTTCAGCTGTAGCTCCATGCTGCATGGAGTGCCCAGATCTGTTGATGGACTCACAATGGAGCATCCATGAGGCTGAGAATGTCACAGATAGCACATTTAGTGAGCTGGTCACATCACCAGTAAAGGCTACACAGACAGAGAAGAGGTGGGTGACCACTAGGAAGATCAGTAAGTGTGAGCAGGCAGTGCAGGAGTCCCCTGTGGCCATTTCCCTCTCATATAGGGATACCGTGCTGGATACTGTTGGGTGATGGGGGAGGTGATGGTCTCTCAGGAGAAAGCAGCAGCCAGATCAGTGGCACCACAACTGGCACTGTTGTTCAGCAGGAAGGGTCGATGTGTAGGCGAGCAGTAGTGACAAGAAACTCTACAGCCAGGGGCGCAGATAGGCATTTCTGTGGTTGTGAGTGAGACTCCAGGATAATGTACTGCCTCCCTGGTGCCAAGACAAATGTCTCTTAGTGGCACAGGATATTCTGAAGAAGGAGGGTGATCAGCCAGAGGTTGTGGTCCATTTTGGTGCTGATGACATAAACAGAAAGAGAGATGAGGTGCTGCAAAAGCAGGTTCAGGGAGATCGACAGAAAGATGAAAAGCAGGACCCCTAGGGTTGTAATCTCAGAATTACTGCCAAGCATCAGTGAAATTAGGAACAGGAAGATAGTAGTTAAATATGTAGCTAAAGATCTGGTGTAGGACAGAGGGCTTCTGAAATATGGATCATTGGGATGTTTTCCAGGGCAGGTGGGATCTGGACAGGAAGGACTGCAACTAAATTGGAGAGGCAGCTATGTCCAGACAGGGAGGTTTGTTAGTGCCATTCAAGAGTGTTTAAACTAGTGTGGCAAGGGGTAGGACCCATAGCTGTAGGTCAGCATGTAAAATGGCTGAGGATTCAGAGACTAAGGCTGGTATGACTAGCCTCCAGCAGAGAGTGACCATGGAATCAAGCCACAAACATTACATCACTGTGATGTTTCCTCCCTGTTCCTCTAACCAAAAAAAAAAGGGGGGTAAGAGAGAAGTGCTGTTGGGAATTTTGTTAGTAGCAGAGTGAGTAGTAAGGAACACAAACAGAAGTTGCTGGAAAAGCTCAGCAGATCTGGCATCATCTGTGAATAAAAAATCAGAGTTAACGTTTCAGGTCCGGTGACCTTTCCTCAGAACTGTTCTGATATTTTCTTCACAGATCTGCTGAGATAATCTAGTAATGCTTTGTGGGTGGAGCTAAGAAAGAAGAAGGGGATGATGACGTTGTTGGGGTTGCACTATAGGTCCCCAAATAGTCAACGGGAATGAGAGGAACAAATATGCAGGGAAACTGGGGAGATTTGCAGGAGCAATTGAGTTGTCATAGTAGGGGATTTTAATTTTCCTCACATAGACTGGGACTGCCATAGTATTAAGGGCTTAAATGGGGTGGAATTTATTAAATGTGTTCAGGAAAGTTTCCTTAAGCAGTACGAAGGGGGTCCTACTTGGGAAGGGGCAAAACCCAACCTACCTTTGGGAAATAGGGCAGGAGAGGTGACTGATGTGACAGTGAGAAAGAACTTTGGGACCAGTGACCGTAGTTCTATTAATTTTAAAATACCAATGGAGAGAGACAAAACTGGTCATGGGGCCAAGTTCTAAACTGGGGCAAGGCGAATTTTGATGGAATTAGACACGACTTGCAGGGGTTGATTGGAGTAGTTTGTTTGTAGGCAAAGGGTCCTCGAGCAAGTGGGATGCTTTAAAACTGTGATAACTAGAGTTCAAAACCTATATGTTCCTGTGAAGGTGAAGGGCAAGGTTCGCAGGAGCAGGGAACCCTGGATGCCAAGTGATATTGAGGCTTTGACCAGAAAAAAGAAGGAGGCATGGCTCAGGAACCGGCAGCTGGGATAAAGGGAATCCCTGGAGCTATATAGGGGAATACAGGAGTTTACTGAAGAAGGAAATCAGGAGGGTGAAAAGGGAACACGAGATAGCTTTGGCTGAGAAGGTTAGGGTGAATCCAAAGAGATTCTTTAAGTATATTAAAGGAAAAAGAATAACTAGAGAGAGAATAAGACCTCTCAAGGACCAAAGTGGACATGTATGTGGGGAACTGCAGGAGATGGGTGAGGTCCTCAATGAATATTTCTCCTCTGTGTTTACTGTGGAGAAGGGCATGAAGACTTGGGAACTTGGGGAAGTTAGTGGTGATATCTTGGGGACAGTCCATATCACAGTAGAGAAGGCATCGGGCGTGTTAGAACGTATGAAGGTGGATAAATCTCCTGGTCCTGAGCAGATAGATCCAAGAACCCTGCAAGAGGCTAGAGAAAAATTTGTGGGGGGCCTGGTTTATATATTTGCATCATTGTTAGCCATAGGTGAAGTCCCAGAAGACTGAAGGGTAGTGAATGTTGTGCCCTCATTCAAGGAGGGCTGCAAAGAAAAACCGGGGAACTATAGCCCAGTAAGCTTAACATCTGAGGTGGGTAAGTTACTTGAGAAAATTCTGAGGGATAAGATGTACTCGCATCTGGAAAGAAAGGGTTTGATCAGGAGTAGTCAGCATGGCTTCATGCGTGGGAGATTATGCCTCACAAATTTCTTACAGTTCTTTAGTGAAGTGACCAGGAACGTTGAGATAGGCAGGGCAGTAGACGTAGTCTGTTTTGATTTCAGTAAGGCCTTTGATAAGGTTCCACATGGTAGGCTGCTGTGGAAGTTTAGATTGCATGGAATCCAGGGAGAGCTGGCAAATTGGATACACAATTGGCTTGATGGTAGGAAGCAGAGAGTGATAGTGGAAGGATGCTTGTCAAACTGGAAGCCTGTGATTAGTGGTGTGCCTCAGGCGTCGGTCCTGGGCCCTTTGCTGTTTGTTATCTATATCAATGATTTGGATGGGAATGTACAAGGCATGATTAGTAAGTTTACAGCTAACACTAAAATAGGCGGTATTGTGGACAGTGAGGAATGTTATCAGAAATTGCAGCAGGGTCTTGATCAGCTGGGGAAATGGGCCGAGAAATGGCAAATGGAGTTTAACATAAATAAGTGTGAGGTGTTGCATTTTGGAAAGTCAAATCAAGGTAGGAGCTTCATGGTGAATGGTGGGGCCTCAAGGAGTGTAATGGAACAGAGGGACCTTGGAGTTTAGGTGCACTGTTCTCTGAAAGTGGAGTCACAGGTAGACAGGGCAGTGAAAAAGGCTTTTGGCACACTGGCCTTCATCATTCAGGGTACTGAGTATCGAAGTTGGAAAGTTACGTTGCAGTTGTACAGGACATTGTTTTCTCTAAAGTCATTCACGGGATGAGAGTGTCGCTGGCTAGGCCAGCATTTATTGCCCATCCCTAATTGCCCAAAGGGTAGTCATAAGTCAACCACATTGCTGTGGATCTGGAGTCACATGTAGGCTAGACCAGGTAAGGATGGCAGTTTCCTTCCCTAAAGGGCATTAGTGAACCAGATGGGTTTTCCCAACAATCGACAATGGATTCATGGTCATCATTAGAC